CTAGAGGCCCTGCCCGCCCCGCCGCCCGGCTGTGTTCCAGGAGCCCGCAGACCTTCAGCTTCGCAAACACCTCCACGGCCATCTTGGACAGGCTTTCGTCGCGTTTGTCCTCTTTTCCGCAGCAGCCTTCGCCAGCGCCCAGCTCAGCCATGTTTCACGCTCCAAGCCACCCCCTGGACTCACAGCCCTGCCCTGCTGCCAATCACGCGCCACCCCGCAGGCCTGCCGCCCACCTGCCTGATCAGCTGCGGGCCTCCACCGCGCCTTCCCATTGGTCTCCTCTCGCGCCAAAGAGGGGCGGGGCGAGACAGCGGGCGGAGCCGGGGCGGGCTCTCGNCGCCTAGTTTGCGTCACCCTCTCCGGCGCATCCGGGAGAGCGTCCAGGAGAGGGCGCTCCTTGGTAGGGTTGTCCCTGAGAGGATTAAGGGTAGCCTTGGGGACTGGATGGAACTGGGGTTTGTGTCCCATCTCCCAGAGCGAGGCTCTATCTCCTGTTTCCCACACAACTGTAGTTAAAGGGGAATTTCTTGAGTTGGAATTCGACCCCACCAGCCACTAGCTGTGTGATTTGAGGTGGGTTACTAACCTAACCTCTCTGTGCCTCCTTGCCCTCACCTAATGGAGATAATCAGAGCACTTACCTTATTGGGTTGCTATGAGGAAGATGGAATGAGGTAATAATTTCTATGAAATACTTAGGATAGTGCTTGGCACATAAAAAGCACTAAAGTTCACTATTATTATGCTGGGCTCCGCTACTTCCCTTTCCTCCCCTAGCCAGTCTTTGACCTTCATGGAAGGTTCTGTGGCTTCTTTCTACCCAGCCCACTTATAGATTTATTTGCATCTCTCAGGCCCCTCAAAATAAGTCTGAGATGAAATTTGTCAGCTGGTCCTCTCCTATACTTCCAAAGCCTCCAGCTCAGTGAATGACCACATCCCCAAGGCCTGCTGATCACATTAGGTGGGAAGGAGCTGGAGGGTGGCTGATGTCCAGGGAGTGGGGAGCCAATGGCAGGCAACTGATAACAGCCTTCCTCCATCCTCTCCATCCCTCTTCTGTGCCTCGCCCTGCCATCTCCTGAAGGGTGGGATCGGGGGACAAGTCTAGAGTCAGGGAGACCTAGGGACCTGACAGGAGGCAACTGCAGTGAGCTGAGTGACAGGAGAGGGCTCAGCTCTGTCTAGGGGGGGCAGGAATCTGGGCTAACAGGAAGGGACCCCAGCCTGGCCTTGTGAAGTAGGGCCTGATGCCCTATTGAGTGGTTTGTAATTCCAATCAATTCTGAGGACACAGAGCCTCAGAATTTTAGCTGAAGGGACAGCCAGCCCTGGCCCAGGGGTCCAGGGACCCAATGACAGGCAAAGCACCTTAAGACCCCCCTCCCCCTCCCATGTGGCTGCTGCCTTGGGCCCTTTTGGCCGCTGAGGGCTATAGGGGCTTTGGGTAGTTTTTTAAATCTTTTTCCTCTTTCTCTTTTTGCTTTTCTTTCTTTTTAAAAAATTTCATTTCAATCACAGCCCCAGCTCAGACATTCAAATTTTTGTGGTTTTTTTCCTGTGGATCTTTCCTAGGACAGGGGAACTTGGCAGGAGAAACTATGGCAATGTGGTGGCCTCCTCTACCCTCCCCATATCCTCTGCTCCTGAGGATCAGGAAGAAACCATCCCCTGTGTATTCTGGAAGAAAACTCCCCTTCTTCACCCAGCCTGATGGAGCCAGTACTCTGTGCAGCCCTTTCCCAACTCAGCAGCTCTATCTGTGGCACAGGGTGAGACACAGAGGGATTGGTAGGGCCTTAAGGGGAGAAGATCATCTCAGGGGGTCATGGGGTCCACCCCATACATGGAGGACCTGCTGGCCAGCCCTCAGCTCATGGAGATGGCAGCTGAGGACGCAGCAGCAGGCTGCAGCCTCCTTGCCCATATTATCCCCTAATCATGGTGCTTTCCAGGCACCCTCTACTGGAAAAGCTGGAGGCTGGGATAGGAACAGACTACTGGGCCTCTCGGGCAGTGGGGAAGAAAGGGCTGAGTGGTAGAAGCTTCTGGATATGTGGACTCAAGCTCAATACAAGGAAGTACTTCACCCAGGTGGCATTCTAAACACTAGCTTTCTGCCTGAAAAGAAAGGGACCTCCCTGTCCTAGGAGGTGTGCAAGCCCAGTGAGGCAAGTAGGGATGTGGAGGGATGAGTTGCTACAGTGAAGAAGTGGACAGCTCTCTAAGGGGCATTCCTGCCCTGAGCCCCTGGTTTCTGTGAGGGAGGCCTGTGTAGGTCAGAGGCTGAAAATGGGACTGAAGGACCCGTCTACCTGGAGGGTGTGTGTGCAGAGGTGTGGGGAGGATCAGTGGAGACTGTAGGGCCCTGGGAAGACCCAGGCACTGCATGCAGCAAGAGACAACCTCCTGATCATGGGGAAATCTTGGCCATAGATCCCAGCAGGGCCTCAGCCATATGTCGGTGCTTGGAAAACAGGTTGGAAAATGAGACTAGTTGAAAGACACTGGTCCCACTGAGCCATGGATAGGCTGGTAGGCAGTGGAGGTTGAGGGAGCTGCCACATGAAGTACCTCACTCTGTGCAGAAATGTATAGCCAACCAGGCAGTTTCACCCAATGGCCTACCTGCTCTGGAGCAGTGTGGGCTGTTGGTGAGAGCAGTGCAGGGCACTGAGCAAAAAGAAGGGCCCCAATAGCATCTCAACCTCACTATTCCAGCTGCCTTGAAGAGCAGCCCCCAGGGTGCAAGGTGAATCTTAATCAGAGGCCCCCTAACTTCAGATTTGATATCACCAATCAAATCTGAAGTTCAAGGGTTTACCTCTCCAGCAAGGAAGAGAAGACAGATTGGCATCTGCTGCATCCAGCAGGGATGAAGGCCTTGTCCCACGGGCTCCATCAACTCCTGCCCCAGAAAGGGGGGCAGAGGCTCTCTCCAGCTTATCTCACCCCTGAGATTCTCTAGTAAGAAAAGGAGATCAAAGAACTTCTCACAATGTCCCCTGGTGAGCACCAAAGTTAGGCTCTTGAAGAAAAGGCAAGTGTGTGTGTGTGTGTGGGGGGGGGTGACATTTCAGGAGAAGAATTCAGTTATGGGTTGAGGGGTGAACATGAAAAATGGGGGGGGCCTTTGCATATGAAATGGAGGAATAGCCTCAAGGCTACAGGGACCTCAAAGTTTGACATGGGCAATGAGCTGAAGGGTTCCCAGAGCAAGAATGATGCTGACTTGCCCAGAGCTGGCTGTCATTCACCTACCCCAAGTTCCCTAGGGACTGGCCTGGCCAAGTACAAGCTATTGAGATGGCATAAATCTGGAGGATTTCAAATCTGCCACTATGGGCCTGACAGAAGTGGGCCTGCCATGAGTGCAGGTTTGGGGGAGTCTAGTGGCCTCTGGTCCTAGCACTCAGTGAATGAGACTGGCAACCCAGAAGCTGACTAATGACTACCAATTCTAGAATGCTCTCATTCTAGGCCTGTGTCCACATTGGGAGTATACTGGCACAAGGATGGAGATGCTGCACTGGGACCTTGGACTCCTCTTCCTGTCACTTCTGGTCCCTATGCTGGGGTGGGGACCATGGCAACCCTAGGCAAGGGCAGCTGGAGAGCCAGCCCTTGAGAGGGGGAGGTGGGTCCCTGCCTATGGGACACCTAGGTAGTGCTGCCCTCACACACTGTCAAACCTGGCCATGCCTGGGGTTTCCTGCTTCAGGGCCTCACCCCCACTTCCTGCCTCTGAGGGGCCTTCCAAGACAAATAGATGCCACCCACTCCCAGGATACAAGAGCACATTTCCCATGGCTGGGACTCTGTTCAGCTCCCAGCCCACTCCTAGGGCCTCTCCCTTCCAGGGTGAATCTTGCTTGAGGTCCAAGGTGCTTGTGGGGCTGTGGACAGAGCCAGGCCGTGTGTGCTGGTGTACCCACAAGTGAGCTCCTGGCCCCAATGGAGGCAGGAGTGGAACCCAAACAGATGAGGAGAGAGTTCAGGGCCCCGGTCTTTATTGCTCCAGGCACCACACTTCGGGGCAGAAGGGGTGGGCTGGGCTGGGTCCCTAAGGGCTTTTCAGTTCCCAGCTTGAGCCCTCTCCCTCAGGGTTTGCAGCAGTCTGGGCAGGCGCACTGAGGCTTGCAGGGGGGGGTGAGAGAGTGGTACATGTGCCGGTGGGGGGCTCAGCCTCCCCGCCCTCCCCCCACCACCGTGGCAGCGGCAGGAGAGGAAATGGCAGGCGGGATGGCCCCCTCCGCGGGGAGACTCTCGGGTCTAGACGGCTTGGCAAGGCCGGCAGGGCTGAGTCACACGCGTCTGGAGCTGGAGATGCCGGCGCCAGGACAGGAACAAGAACGTGCTCAGCTGTGCGGGGGAGGGGGAGCTCAACCTCGCCTTCTGGCTCCCTTGCCCCCAGCCCAGCAGGAGCCCCATTTTCTGCCCAGCTTCTGTCTTCTGCCTGAGGCCCCTTGATGCCCACCTGGAGGGGCAAGGGAAGTTTCCACAGGGAGTCTAGCGGGGCGCATGTTATTGGTAGGGACCAACTGGAATTTCAGACAGGGAGGGAGATGTAAAATGATTCCCCACGTACACCCATCTCAATCATGGTCCTACTCTTTCAACCCAGCCACATCCCCCACCTGGGACCTTTTTGTCCCACAGCCACCTTTGCTGTTCTCTGCCCCCTCCTTTCACCTTCTACTGTCACCCTCCGCAGGGATGCCCACACCGCAGCAGCTGAAGGCCTCTGCTCCCCTCTGCCTGACCGCCAGTGCTCCTTACTACCTATCACCCAATCCCCAGCCATCATTGTCTCGTTTGGGGTTCTGTGTACCCCTTCCCTCCTCCTCTCTCTGTTTCTGTCTGTCTTTCTGTCTCTCTCTCTCACTTCCTCTCTCAGGAACACCAGGTCTCAGGCAAGGAAGCATAATACATGAGTCTGGATCACTGATGTATTTAGTGCTCACAAAAGCATTTGCAAGAAAAGTTGTTTAATTGGGACCAGATCCTCTGAGGTTTCAATGGCATTAAAACAAGATGGGTTTTCTCTTGGGAAGAAATGGCTGGCAACAGGAAGAGAACATGGAAAGTTTGGCTTTTTTCTTCTCAAAGCTTAAAGAGGGAAAAGACCCCTGTACATTGACTTATATAACATAGATGTGTGGACATGTG